TGGGTTACTGATCATGATTGCTCTATTTATATCCGGGCCTTTCGCTGCCCTGGTTGGGTTTGTCGCTGCCACAATAGCCATATTTACAGCGTGGGTAAGTCAAGGAAACTTCTGCGTGTTGTATTTGCACTACAGAAATTAAACGGTTAACGTATACGTAACAACGCAGATCAAAGTCCCTTCGAGTAGGTTGATTGCTCAGTGAAGTAATATGAACTCCTCTCTGTATCGAAATCATTGCAATATGGCGACATGATATTACTCTTTAATAAAAAATAAATATATGTATTTGGCATTGTAGGGTCGGATTATACCTACTTTTGCCAGCTAGCAGTATTTCCAGACCTGGGCCCTGTTTATATTTAATATCCAGGCCGGAGGTACGAGAGACGAGGGGCGATCACGACGTTTTCACCCTCACCGTATCTAGAATAATTGACCTGCTTGAACTTTAAGTACTTAAACCTTAACTACTCGATAAGTAAGTATTTATCGAGTACTTAATCAATAACAAATTAAATATTTATCGGCAATTCTTAAGACCTGTGTGGTTCACTCCGACAGTTGAAACCGTAGAAGCGGAAATCAAACGTCACTGCTAGTAAAAAAGCACATTTATTTTCCCATGTTGTGAAGAATGTTAGCTATCAACCCGTTGAGACATCCACATCATGTATTTTATTTTTACTTGACTTATCGTAACATATTGCTCGTCAAGATTTATCATCAACACAGTTTTGTTTTCCTTAATGATTAGATCCGATAATTTACTATTGTTCTATAAGTCTTGCATCATTGTTTCCAGTTCTTTTTCAGATTTTGCAAATAATAGAATATCATCTGCAAAACGCAGGAGTGGTAAATTATTTTTATTAACGTTGATGTAAAATTTTCGATCCTAGTCTAAATTACGACATTTGTTTTCAGTACAGCAGAGGTCAATTTAAGAGAGATGGGATATCCTTGTTTAACTATTCTTGACATTTTGAATTCATCTTCAAGATTTTCCGTTTTAATTTTTAGACAACTGTTTTTATTCACTTTCTTCAGGATGTTAATATATTTCTTTTGAAATCCTTGATGTTCAAGTGCTTGTAGCACGTAAAGTTAGTGTTTAGTGATAGATTGGTGTTTGCAAATGCTGATTGTTGAAGGTTTGATTGATTTACGTACTATATTTATTAGTATGTTAAGTTCTAGTTTCAGCCCTAGTATTTTTAGTTGTGAACGTAGTCTGCGGGTTTTGTTTTTGATTTGTATTAGATTTGCTATTTCCGAGGGAAGTTTATATTGTTTATCTTTGTTGGTATCCTTTGTTTTTAATCCGGTTTCTTTCATTGTGATGTATAATATGGTGGTTAGTTTGCTGATTGATTTCTCTATTTCTAGTGGATTGGAGTGAATTTTAAATTTAGGTATTTTTGAGCTAGTTAAATTTTGAAAATTTTTCCAATCAACTTTTAACGTATTGAGATATGGGCGCGTGCGATAGGAGTATTTGTTGTGTGGCTATTAACACCGAATGTGAACTGAGTCTAGTTCGAATAATGTAGTAGCGTGTAGTTTAATTTTAGCGTTAGTCCAATATCGAGAATGTTGGGATTTCTCAAGCGATCATGTGCGCAATACGTGGGGCCTGGTGGTGAAATTAATTTGAGAGTAGTGCGATTTAGTATTTGAGCTACTATTTTCCCATTAGCGTTGGTGTTCGAGCCAGCCCAATTGGTATTTTTAGCATTTAGGTCCCCTAGAAGTATGGTGTTATTTAGTTGAAATATTTTACTAATGTTATCGAGGTCTAGTTTATGATTCGGATTTTATGCAGCAATTATAGTATTATATTTAATTTTCATTTCTAATTTAGTAGCAACAGTTTCTATTTTACCAGTACAAGGGAGAAATATTGTGTAATGTATTTTTTATTGAGGGCAATTATCACTTCTCCTCCTTTGTTTAGATTTTTGTAAAGTCTGTAAATTGAGTAGTTTGAGATACACAATTTTTTAGTGAATTTCTATGATGCAAATTATATTTACATGGTGTGAATTTAAGAAGTGTATTAGTTCTGTTTTTTATTTGTTAAGCAGTTAGCATTCCAATAGACGAGAGTAAAATCCTTAAGGGGTTGCCATTATTTCCGTTAATGTAGGGGGAAAATAAATTTTGAATTGAATTGATTATCGTGGGTAAAGGTGTGTATGACATTGATTATATAGGAAGTAATTGTATTAATTATTGTATTTATAGTGGGATAATTGTGGTGTGATTCTTGCGGAAGGTTGGTTGAATTTGAATTGTTGAAAGGATTTGGGTGGGCCTGGTACTACTAATGTGGGTGAAGTTGTTGAGAATTGGTGTTTGGGGAAGGAGACGGAAATGGGTGTTATATTGTAATGGTATGGGTTGGTGTGAAGATCTTTGACCTCTATTTTGGAGGTTGTTTTTGTTGAC